GGGTCGACGCTTATCTCCGCTTTTATTTCTTTCAAAAAAACTTTAGCAAATACTAGTAAGAATAATTATTTCGAAAACGATGTTTGGTGACTTTCTTCAGCTTAAATCGTGCAGGATTCTCCAAAAATTTCAAAAAAAAAAAAAGTAAAAAAAAAAAAAGTTTTAATTTCACAGTCTAGAGAACGTTGACAATAAATGACTAGCAGCTTCATCGAAAGAAAGAGCCGCGTCTCAAAGATTCTTCCGCGATGGGAATTAAATTTGAATTAGTGGCCGTTACTTGTGTCGGGGCATCAAAACAACGAGGAACCGGTCAGATGTTCTCCCTTGTTACTTGCACGTTAAAATAATGACACGAGCTTAAACAAAAGTAGGCGGAGAGATGAAAATATACTTGCGGATGGATGAAACTAGGGTAAAACTAGTGTATGCAAGCAAGACACTTAAAAACTCTCTTCTTGTGTGAATCACAATCAAAGCCTATAATTTAGTTCGTTAATTCTTAGATATGAATAGATATGAAACTCACCGATATTAGATAACTCGTTAGATATGAAACTCACTGATATTAGATAACTCGTTAGATATGAAACTCACCGATCAATACCTTTTAAATCGTAAGTTGTTCGTAACTGGCAATGGACGTCTGAATAAATTGAAGAGCTGGCGAATGGACGTTTTAAACCACTGTAGAGTCCAGCTGATGGGGAAATAATGGCGCTAGTATGGAAACCAAGCCACCCTAACAGCGAGAAGTAAGTAGTACGAAATTTTGCCCTCAGTTGAAAGTGACTGATGATATATATAGGGGCGCTGTACCCTTTATTTTATTTTTACTTAATTAAGAAGGCCAAACATTTGCTGTTTTTTTTTTCTTTTTTTTTTTTTACTGTTACACGCTTCCTCTTTAAGTACAAAAGAATATACTGTTGTTAAACTGGGCTTGCTCTGCTGGTGCTCCCTCTAAATTTATGCTAGAATAAGTTCTAACAGAGCCATTAAGGCAAACAAAAAATATTTAACCTTCTTAGGATTTGTTACCTCCATAACATTTTTTCAGTCGGGAACGCCATGTCATACAACGTTTTTGCCTTCTTTTTGAATTGTTCTGTCCAAATACGTTGTAAGTGTAACTACTAAGATTCTTTTTTCCGCTTGTACTATAAAACATCCTTTCCCTCTTAGTTTCTACGTGCCACTGTTGTTCTGGAACAATAGCTCCCACTGTGTATTGTCAGTGCTCTGCAAACTGAAAGCCATTTTGGGGCGTACTGTCAGTTAAGAATCAACATTTAAAAGCCCCCGCTAATAGAAACCGGCAAGCATTTGAGACATTTTGCCACTTGACAAAGGTGCACTTGGTAGCTGATACGACAAGCAGGTGACGATAAGATGTAGCTTTTATTTCACTTACATACTTCTCGCTCCATCACTAGGGCTAGCCCTATCTTCCCGAAGAATTTCCGCACAATGTATTGAGAGACTTTAAGTGGCTCTGTCAGTTTATTGAATGTGATTCTGTGACATGAAAATAAGAATAAGAATTTTCCCCAAGTATTTGTCACATTTATTGGATAAATGAACTCGTGAACGTGCGGTAGGAAATTTTCCCCATAGAGGGCCAGACTGCTAACATCTTGAATTCGCGAACAGGAGTTTGTGCCCGATGCTCGACAAATTTACTGTAAGATTCTGAAAGGTCCTTGAAGAGTCTGTTGGCCGAGGCCAAACGCCACGTTAGACTTGCCACGAACAATTTTTTGAGAAGAATTTGTCACATTTATTATATTATAAAACGCTGTACAGCAAAAATCAACAAAATCCTTTAAAGCATGTAATGAGGAACTCGCGATGAAAAAAAACAAAAAAAACCAGAAGTAATTAGTCAAGAGAGGAAATAGTTTAGAACATAAGTATAACTGTTGTTTTCCAAACAATGACGGAAAGAAATCCAAACTCGCGCCGATGGCACACTTCCTATCCTTTTTTTCATTATTGCATCCGTTAAAATAAAAACCACATGTAAAGTTTACATATATCCATTAATACAGTACACAAAGATACCAGTTCCCTGACAAATCTTCTCATTGTATATTGAATGGAAGCATGTCAGTTCTAGAAATTACCGGAAAAAGCTTGGAAAACAATTCAAGGGTGATATGTAAAACAAAAAATCTGTTTGCTGTAACATTGTTACTTTGACATTCAAGATCCAACAGCTGTTCATATATAGTTATGTCAACCGTATAAAAACAAAAGGAAATTATGGAAAAAGAGGTAAAGTACTGGAAATTAAAACCCTCTGCGCTACTTTAGGAGTCAGTCTACAAGGACAATTATATCTCCCTTAAAAGGGTAATTTAATTGCAACTTTAAAGTTGATTGCAATTCTTTTTTTGTTTTTGATTTTTGTTTTTTTTCGGGAACACGCCACGGCCTAAGCATTTCTTTATTCTCAACTGCTGTTTTTCTTTAATAGATTACTTTCGTCGTCTCCAGATTTCACGATGCTCTTTGTTGTTTACTGCATGTGTAATTTCTTCGTAGGTGAGTCACGTGCAAAAACATTTTACCGTATTACTCCCGTAGCATTACCATGTTTTATCATGTACATGTATATCTTTCCACTATATCACAAATTGCATATTTAAACCATGGCTATTATAACCTTGATCAGTTTACACGCATATAATTTGTGTTGAATCTTAATCTCAGTTTGAGCCCTTTCAACGACTGATCAGATCTGCGTTCATTCTACAGGTCTAAAAGAAATAAGACCAATAATATAATTCTATAATTCGATTAACTGAACATTGTCTAAACAGGATTGTTACATTATTTTAAAAGAACTTCGAGAGATAATCTCTGAATTTACGAATAAGTGCAACTTTAACATGTCTATCGTAAAGAAACGTTAAACAGAAAAAATGTAATTTAATGTAATGTAATAACTAAATTAAGCAGCGATTAAAGCTCATTACCTGTAAGTGATATTTTCATCGAATGCGTCGAAGTCCGTGTATGATGACTGCTTGTCATTAGATTCTGACCTCACAGTTAGTAAACAGCCGGTCTAGTTTGAAGTTTATTGAGAATAGATCAAGAAGCAGCTCGGGAAACATTGCAGCAGTAGGCTCAGTATAGGTTGGATGTTTTGGACCCTACCGAGAAAAAAATACTTCGTGCAAAAAAAGAAAAAAGACAAAACAAAACAATACCCTCCACTTCAGTGACTAAGGACACCTCTAATTCACAAAGCTCTCGCAGGTGTAAAAACAATTAAAGCGACCCAGTGCTCAATGCGTTTTAGTAGCAATATCATCACTCCCAGTCATATTGAAGTGAGTTTTTTTAAACCTTACGTAGTATACTTAATTCGTTTGCTGTTGTTTCCCTTGGCTTAGGACTGGTTGTAAGCACTCCATTTTCCAGACAACAGGTAATGTTATGTCCACCCTTCAGTGTCTGTGTTACTCAAAGATCAGTAATAACGCTTGTTAAAAGTGGACAGTGATAAAGAAATGTCAATGCCTGTGCTATTTTTTCGATTAGATTCAAACGATATATACTCTAGCTTTAACTAACAAGTTCGGTTAAAAGTGTAATTGTAAATTTGCTGACATAGTAGCGGCTCTTACACAAAGCAGATGGTGATATAAATTTTAGTATCATGCCTGCTGATGTCGGTGGCCACATGATTCTATTCTACTGACATGTTCTAATAAGAATATTGCTATATTTTGCAGTTTAATGATTTACATCATCGCATGGAAGATAAAGACATACAGAGAACATTTGGAGTTGACTCACGAGAGCAAGGTGTTGAACTAACTGCCCCATCTTTATTTTTAAATGGGCTTTTTCTATATTTTATTATGTTATGTATACGTGCGGATATTCTGAGAGTTGCGGCACACAATGAACGGAATCCCCCCTCGTGGTTTCCTAGGGAATGAAGACATTTTGTTTGGCTATTTTTTTTTCCTTGTATGTACAGGTATGCACTTTTTCTATCACTGATCTATCAACACTGAGTGGTTCTTTGCCCGAATTGTCTCGTGTTGTAGGACGGCGTCAATTAATCGTTCCATTTATTAAACCGATCATTCATAAAAAATAACAGTTCGTAGTAAATGTCGACGGATTTGGTGTTAAATTTCAACGACGGCATATATATTGAGGTAATATTATACATATTCCTATTATTCCAATAATGCTCGACAGCTGCTGACACTTTACGTCAGTAACGATATATATGATGGGATGCTTGCATAGCTTCTATCAAATGCCACAGTTAAGATTTTCTTCCGTTGATTGTCCAATTTCGTATCATACTCGCTAGAAACAATCTCAAGTTCTAAATTTAAAAAGGATGGAATACCGTAATCAACACAGTTTCATTCAAGCAGTTTAAGACCCCCGTACGGAGGCTAGATCTAGGCAACATCCTAGATGGATGTAGTGGCTGTTACCTTTGTAACTCATAATTTTAATTTCTCTTTTAGGACTTTTCTGTATATTATTTTTAGATAGCTCTAGCTATAGCTATAGGTGTCCCCTATTAGCAGCGGGGATACCCAACTGATAACTGTAATTGACGCGATGATAAAGTCCTTATTCTTCTTCTTCTTTAGGGATCGATTCTTCCGCGGATATCACGAAACACTCGAAGCACTTCTAAGAACTTCTCTCTATGCTATCGCTTTTTTTAATATTGTGAACAGAGTCAAAACAAACTAGGCAACATGGAGTAAATACCACATCGTTACTCCTAATCAGTTACACCTCGGATAGCTCAGTAGCCAATCAGCTGTGTGGTCCTACTAAAACGAACTTTCTATTTCTCAGTCCCAGAATATGAGGTTATATCGCCCTACCAGGCAGATGAATTTGGGAATTTGGTTGGTTACTCTCTCCGAACCCAAACAAGAACGCGTAGAAATGCACATCAAGCAAACTTTTGGTATTTCAAAGTGGAAGCGTTTGGAAGATCAATTCACATGAATCTCACGAAAGTTAGACCTTTTATAACATCGGCAGCCTTAGTTCAGACGGTCCATATCAACGGTAGTTCGACGTATAAGGAGATTCCACGTGGCGTATATTACACCGGTCACGTGACGTCCGATCCAGGGTCACTGGTTGCTATAAATGAGAACAACGGTTTGGTAAGGAAACAGTATTCATTCATTAGTTTAACAGACGGTGTTTGTTGTTAGCTGCTTTCAACATTATTAATTCATCGGAAACAAAGTGTTTACTGTAATGGTCTCAGTGGTTTTTCTGAATCAATTTTAACTTTTGATGTATTTCTGTTTAACGACTGGTATGGTTACGAGACCGATCAGTCCAAGCAAAATGTCCAACTTAGTACATATAAAGCAGAGTCAAGTTTTCTATTTAAACAAAGAAGAATTTACCCTAATAAGTAACAAATGTTGCATCTACAACCTGCTACATGTTTAAGAAATATTTACAAGTATCCTATAAGCACAATGCTAGCAAATTCTATTCAATTTTAGTAAAAATCTACTAGCGTTCTATCACGAATGCCGTTCTGTGACTAATTGGCTACGCTACTCACTATCTATTCTGTGATGGATAGTGAGTGGCGTATCTGTGTGCGCTTGTTGACAAAATGAAGGCCGCTTCTTGGCGTTTTCGAAGTGTCTGTGAATAGGATGTAGATAAAGTTTTGAACAACTAGTAGATTTATACTAAAACAATTAGATTATTCGCTCTCGATTTCTATCGCGTGATAGTTGACGAGCGCGCAGCCCTCGTCAACTATCACGCGGTAGAAATCGAGAGCGAATAATCTTATTGTTTAGTTTACTATTTACATTCAACTGGGATACATTTCTGTTGTTCTTTCGTAGGCAGGGATGATTCGGACTCTCAACGACACATTTTATATAAACCCACTTCCGTCCCACGTTATTAGAAGCATTAAGTTCAATGCTGGACAACCTCACGTCATCTATCGACGATCAATTGAAGATCTTTCGTCCACTTACCATATTTCAGGTACAAACTCTTTAGTTTTGTTAGCTGTTGTTTTTGTTGTTGTTTTTCTCACTAACGAGTCCACGGTATAACTGCAGAAATTAAACAGCTGTATTTAAACGAGTGTTTTTACTTTTTCAATTTAGAAGATGGTGAACATCGCATTAAAAGAGCGAAGCCAAACCGGCACCGAAGGCAAAAACGTGATGCCCCACATAAATACTTGGAAATGGCCTTAGTAGCAGACAACTTTGCGATTTCAGCTTACGGTGAAGACGAGATGACTTTTCACTTACTGGCAATCGCTCACATTGTACGTAAGCTTTTTTTTTCGACAGTTCATACATTTTCCAAGTTGAAGGGAAGGTTAAGTGGGAAGCATGTCACGTTATGAATCTTGGCCGCTAACATGGAAGAACCGATGCGACATTTCAGCGAGTGATATCTGGGTTTCTCTGGTAAAACAGGAAGATATGTACAAATGTGAAATTAATGCTAAGTGCTTCAAACCGACCATTCTGAAATTGAAGTCCACGATGAACCTTTGCGAGACCATGAGCAGTGTATATTGCTACCATCATTTCCCTTTCAGGGATGTAGATATTTACAACTTTTCCGATGGTTTTACAGATACGTCTTGGAGTCATTACTTATTTTTCAAGTAGAAATGCGAGTAACAAACTAACAGCCCACGCCCTTTTCGGATTAAAATTCTATGATCTTTCTTTTACTTTTGTAACTCTTGTTTGACAATTTATGGTTAAATACCAATGTAGTCAAATATTACATTGTTGTGACTGATCTAACGCGTCCCTAACGCCTAACCTTTAAGTTCTGCCGAAATTTGAACAGGCAGACCGGCCGGAAGGAAACATCTCCGCCTGCAGAATAAAACCTACATTTTTTACATTTGTTTAATTACCACGTATACAGCACTGACACATAAATTTGTTTATATACCAAAGGCTACACAACTATACCACGACAGCAGTATTGGTTCTATTAAGATCACACCGGTGATTGTTGGNGTCAGTCTGCATGTAAGCCAGTCAGACATTTTTACTTTTTTCTGAGTCAGTTTGGATATGATTCAAGTTCATCGAGAACAGAGCGTATCAAGGCAATGGAGTCCTGGGCGAAAGAAAATTTTCCACATTCAGACAGCGATCCTGATCATGCTGATGCCGTCGTTCTCATTACAAGAAGGTGAGTAAAGTCTGCGGAGAAGATACATAACACAACTCAGTTTAGAGCTTTATTAACTCAATATCCCTTAGCCGTACATACATGGTCACACATGTTATAATGTCATGTTATCTCGATAATCAGTTTAATATGTAATTTAATTTCTCTTTTTTCTTCGTCTTCTATAGGAGCTCTGGAGGTTAGTTTACGCATTCTCCTTGTTAATTTACACAATTTCAGACTTAATTGCAATTGAAGTTAAAAGATTGATATAAATGTCAGCTGATCCGCTGATAGCATTAGGCTACTAGACGGATCATTTATTACCACAAAGTGGGTAATTAAAGCGAAATAGACATAAATAACCAATTTGTTATGTTTTCGATTTGAGCATTACTGGACTCTAGATAGTCACGTGTTATCCTTCTGTGTCGTACTGTTATCAAAACATACAATAAAGAGTCGTGCCTATTACAGCGTTGATTGACGATATATCTGCCAGAAACGAAAAGTTTTACGTAGTAAGAACTGGACGCTCCTTCACAATAAAACATACTCATATCAATGATTATTTAAACTCAGTTTACCCTTCCACATTTCGTTTCTTCACGAAGTTATCGAAAACAACGTGGAGTTGTCATACAGACTTCTAAAAAAGGCATCATTTCAACCTTCAGGGATTGCCAGCTTAGGATCCACTTGCAGAGATGTCTTTGGCGCTGCTCTTTCTAACGACATTGGTCTTGGAAGCGCTTTAGTCCTGACTCATGAACTCGCTCATACGTAAGTTATTTCCCGTTTCCTCAAAAATGAAAGAAAGCGGAGCTGAATGTTATTACACTTGCCCTCCCTATATCAGATACCGCTCCCTTGCTGGGTTCTCAACATCCCCTGTTAGTTCCCGGCCTTCTTCAGTTTCCTGTTTTAATTTCATGTTTAAACATTAAAAGAACATTTTTATTTTTTATTTTTCTTCCATGAATTTAAGACACCTTATACTCATGACATATCTGTCGATTGATTAAATTTCATGACAAAGGATGGGCGTTGGGCATGATGGTTCCTCCAGCGGCTGTGCGAATCATATCAATTTAATGGCATCGACAATACCAATCGGACCTGGATCCATGAAATGGTCTGCGTGTAGCCGGGAACGTTTTCAGGACTTCTTGAGGTACACTAACACCACAAAAGTTAGACATGACATGGATTGTGGTTTTTCATTTCCCCAAAGTGCAAAAGAAAATCAGTTTTAATACCTCAACAGCTGCCTTTTTAACTTGGAAAATATTTTTATTTTTTAACTTGTAGTGGTGGGACGATTTCACTCCATAACTCCTTCACTGGGTCACTTCCTGCTAGACATTTGGAATTGAAAATTTGAATTGAACTCCTAAAGAAGACTAATGTGATCGTTACTCGAGCTTCATTAGACCCCTAAAAGATATCACTTAAGACGGAACAGGTTCGATTCCTAGCCACTGTTCAAGAGAGGATCCTGCGCGCACTTGTAGACCCGCCTCGCGTACTGGAGAGATCAGCGGAAAACAAATGAGAGCGTTTCTTTTGTTATTATCATTCCTTCGAGTGCACCCTAATGGACACTTTGACAGCTAAAAATGGTGAGGTTTCGTCATCAACACCCTAAGTGAGACCAGAAACCCTGATTTGTACCCGAGACCACGGGAATCTCCGACCTTTTCATAGAGGTTCCCCCCCCCCCCTCCCCTGAGTTTCAAACATCGTGTCAATTAAGATATTCGTTGAATTTCTGACGCAAGTACTAAATATATTAACGCAGAAATAATCTACATTGAATAGACTTTCGCACAAACGTTTTTATAAATAGAAGCTAATTATATAACTAGCTTATTTCCCGCAGGTGTCCGCTTATACAGGTTTAACAGTATTCGATTGCCGAAAAATGAGGAGATATTGAAGATCACAAAACTGAAGATCTGTATGAATTTTCGAATTATGATTTAAGCCGTGATTAAAAGTTTTGGACGATCAACAGACAAGAGAATTGAGGAGAATTCAAACGACGTGTTTCGCTATTATTTATACAGTATTGAAATAAATGCTTCAAAGATGAATACAGACATGGCGAAATGATTTGAACAAAATAGTTGATAAATAGAAAAAAAAGACATTAAACAAGATTGGGAGTTCAACAGTCACTAATATCGCCTTGGAAAGAGAAGAAAAAAAAAGAAAAAAGAAAAAAAAAACAGAAGTTATTACAACACGGGGCATCCGTATTTTGGAATCCATCCAAGCAGGAACCCCGGCGAAAAGGGCTTAATTTTGTTGAGCGGACGAGAAGCAGCGCGGTCCTTGTCGTATTATGACTCTACGTTGGATAATTAATTTCCTGTCAAAAGGTAACAAAGAAAGAAAAAAATCACTGATATCGCTTGAGAAATAAAGAGCGAAAAAAGTAGGAATGAAAATGAGAATCCGATTATAATTGTTTTGCTGATCGGACAAGAAGCCGTACTTTCTTTATAAGTGACTCGGACGAGGATCACCAACAACTTCATGAATGTTTCCAATAGTGTTGCATCTCCTCGTGTATTCTCTTACCGTTGCGTTTTGCCAGTGGGCTTTAACTTTAATTTAACCTACGGACTAAAACTTCAAGTCAGTGGCATCAAAATTGTCACTGTTTACAGACGATCAATTTTCCAAGTTGAGTAGTTCATAGCCACTTTGATTTGGATTATTCAGTGTATTAACTGAACAGGCATGTAATTGCTCAAACATATGTTCTTGGTTGACATTCTTCCCTATAAATGATGTCGCACTGGGATTTGTGAGGTAATCAAAGACGTTGACAAAGAATTCTTGCGATGAATGGGTTTGTAATCCATTTATTTGCCCTCAAAGCCAGAGATCAAACTGCCTAGATGACATCCCCCCAATATCTGAAGTTATACAAGATGCAAAAGAGTTTTACGGCAAACTTCCAGGACAAGTCATTAATAGAGATGAACAGTGCGAGATGGCTTTCGGCGGCCGCTTCTACGCATGCCCGCAACGCTTGGTGAGTGAAACAGTTTTTCTACACGAGATTATTAGCTATGAAATTCAGAACGAAACTAAAAAAACTTAATCGTTATTATTAATATTATTTTAATTTTTTTGAAGACGTCTTGTCAAGCATTGGGATGTACGGAAGATGGCCAGAAGTGTTATTTCTCTCCGACATCTCCTGTTGATGGAACCAGATGTGGAGATAGACACGTAAGCATACTTTGACCTTTTAGTTGTACCAGGAGCCATAATCGGGGAAGGAGACCGTAAGCGCGCGCCATTTCTAGTATTGGGACTGTCCCTATGATATGGGACAATTTTGTTATTTTTAGAACTTATTCCATCGCGTGGGGCACACGCGCGTACATGCTGCGAGCATTTTTGCGGATGTCGCGCAGGGGAAATGTCGTCTGAAATTTTATGCTTTTGGCCCACAACTCATTACGTTTATGTCTGTTGGAATTTTGCTTAAGTATTTCGTTCGTAAACTGCTCGAATTCGAGTGAAGTACAGACAGTGTCGAATTTAAGTATGTCCCCCTTATAACTGACCAAATTGTGTTCCGTTGCTTCTTTTAAGGTAAGGTAAGTTAAGGTAAGGTAAGGTAAGGTAAGTTAAATTTATTTTGAGTCGTAAACGTAGGGAGTGGTTGCCAAATCTCCCGAGCCAGGGGCTCATGACAAAAAACGCACGACTATTTACAATAACGTTACTACTTACAATTTCAATTTTCGCTAAGATAAAATCACAATAAAAATATAAAATATTCCTAAGAGCAGCTAATCCTAATATTAAAAATTTGAGTTAGAAAATACAGTTTATACACTGGCACCCTGTAAACTCCACACCTTTCAAACGAGAACGAAATTGTGCCAAAGTGGTCGAAGATTTGGTGATAGCTGGTAACTGGTTTCAATTTACTACTGCTTTTACATTACTACACTCTATTTCACGCGGCCTTTTTTCCTCACGGTTTAGTTACGGTCTCGTTCGACGAACTAAGCGAAAGAGGGACTACTCGTAATCTGTCTCAGCACAAAAGAGAACGAAAGAAATCTTTGTCAAAATTTGTTGACAATCCACCGTAGGAAAAAAAATGGCGGCTGTACATTTTACCACAATACCTTGCGAACTTAACACAGCCTGCAAGGCACAAAGAAAGCCAAATTTTTACAATATTTGTCCCTGTACGAAGGACATTGTGTATGCTAGGTTTGAAGATTTTGTAACTCTTCTGTGCGTTTTTATGAACGTTGTTAAGGCTTTCGCTCGCTAAGACCTATGGGTAAATGTACCAGTCGCCATCTTTTTTCCTACGGAGGATTGAAAACACCGTCTCTTTCATAAACGCGTCAAACAAGCAGAAACAATAAGAATAACAATGGTTATGATTAAGCATTGATCTTAGAAACTCATAAATTAACCGGATTCCAGAGTACATGTAGAGAGTTTTCTTACATAAGCTATATTCATAAGTCAGAAGAAATGCAAAAGCTTACGCGTACAACTAGCGCGAACAGATGCTATTCATTCACAGCGCAGCGAAATTAAAGTCTTGTTTTGAACCCCGAAAAACTCACCTTTTCCATTAGCTCAAAACAAAAAATGCACGAAAACGTCAACGCTAACATGACAGCATCCAAAAGAGAACCCAAGACTTGCGCGTGGATCCGGGTGGATATATGTCATCAGGGTGGCGCAATTTATTCTTAAAATAGCAAAATTGTCCCACATCACAGGTGAGCGCGGATCCCGACTAACGGTCTCCGTCCCTGATTATGGCTCCTGATTGCACATATTTCAATCTTACAGGCAAAATAACAGGTGAAATGCAAGTGTGTTAAATGTAGCTAATGTGTACTGGCTGAAGAACATTTACGTTGAACTGCGCACCTTAAGGACGCTCGTGCTAGTTGTTACTGCGCATCCTTATTGCGCACGCAAATTCACACGCCACGTCATGCATCGAGCATGCGCGCTAATTACTAAAATAGGGCAGATGACCTTTGCTATAGCTTTACTTGGATATAACGATCTTGGACGTTCGGTGATCCCTACTTTTCTTTCCAGAAACAGATTTATTTACAATTATCTCCACATTTTCCAAAAATGAACAAAAAATCAATGTGGGAAGTAAAAAAAAAAAATCAAGATTTCTGTTCACGGGACATCGAATCCCGCCATCTTGCGGCTGCAAGGCGCGTGAAAATATGGTCGCTAAATGCGAACTTGTTCTTTAAGGAACCTCACCAGTTGACTAAATTCACTTAATACGTCCACTTAAACAATATTTGGCAGGGAACATTTCACTTTAAAGATCTAATTGCAATATTTTGGGGCTCACAGACACTGTAGCCTTATTCGCTAACGAAGCCGGATTTTTTAAGATTTAGGGTGTTCTTCCGGGCATGTTCTCTCTAAGACGAAGTCGATGACCCCCCATTTTTTTTGCCTTTTTGGCAAAAGTAGATCATTACCTTTCTGAGTGGCAAGTTTTAAAAAAATCTGTATGTGGGAACATTTTGGGCGCGAACATCCTTAAATATGCTTAATTTATCGTATAGACGTAACCGAGAATACTCTTAATAGTGAGCATAAACAATGAAATCACGCAGTCATCAGATATACTGTTTTTCTCTTCTTCGTTTCGTGTTTTAGGGTAATCAAACAACCAAATTAAAGTAAACTAAACCCAATTTACATTAAACTAAACGATGTCAAACAATGGACCGATGGCGATAGTTATGCGACAAGCCAAGTTAAACGCTAATCGAAACGTTTGGCTCTTTAACAATTAGATTCCATGCTGACGTGCATCTGTTCAGTATTAGTATAAATCTACTAACGTTCTATCGCGAATGTCGTTCTCAGATTGGCTACGTTATTTACTATTTCTTCTGTTGCAGATAGTGAGTAACGTAACAGTGTGCGCTTGTTAAGAAATAGGCGGCCGTTTCTTTGTCCGTTTCTTTCTTCATATAATCTAACTATAAAATGGCTGTTGATGCAGTCACAGTGAAGTCATGTTAACTTTAGGTGCAGTACAACTGTATGAGTATCTACTGTTTCTGATGAACATTACATCCCTAAGTACTCCTGTGTTTGTTTTTCAGTGGTGTATAAATGGTCAATGTACAGACGATGGATCACGCGTTATCAATGGTCGCTGGAGCAACTGGTCAGTGTTTACAAAGTGTACCCGACCCTGTGGTGGAGGTGTTCAGTCTAGGACAAGAACTTGCACGAATCCAGTGTAAGATTTGTAGCGGATTAAGGGTGGCTGAAAACAGTTTCCAGTTATTTCTATCACTTATTCTTTGATGGATCAGTACTGACACCCTTTGTCGGACGACCCTACAATATCAGTATGAACACACAAATCTCCAATCATTGGTAGACAAGTCTCGGTCAATGTTTCGTATAACAGACAACCATAACAACAGTCTCACCTGTTAAAACACCCTCAACTTTAGCTTTAAGTTGTTTTAACTTAAGAATCGAGCTCTGTGACCATGCCACAATTCGATAATAAACATGGGGGTCACCAAGTACGTTTTTTAGTTACGAAGACTTAAAGATAAAAGGAAGAGTGCCTTTAACAGGATGAAATGTTACTATGGTGACCTATTATGCTATGAAGATACGATGACCAAATCTTCTACACCAATAATTGAGCATTTGTGTTATGACCATTGTTATATTAAGAAGTGTACGTATTGATCCGTCAAAGTATAACTAGTGAAATGTGCTTGATACTGTTGTTGGCCTTGTTAAACCGTTTCATTTCTTTTTAAAACGTTCTTATCACGTAAATATAAACAATTCCGAGGCACAGATCACTTAATTGCTTGCTTGCTTTGCCGCCTGCTCGCTCGATCGGTCGATCTCTTGACTAATTGATTAATTGATGGATTGATTAATTCATTGGGTGGTCAGTCGATGGTTTATTGACTGACTGACTGACTGACTGATTGACTGACTGACTGACTGACTAATTGACTTGTTGATTGGCTAATTGATTGACTGATTGATTGAATTATTGATTGACTGTTGATTGACTGATTGAATGATTAAATGACTGACTGACTGATTGATTGAATGATTGATTGATTGATTGATTGACTGTTGATTCATTGTTGATTCACTCAAACGTTCTTTCATTCATTCATTTATCGATCCATCCGTCGAATCGTTCCTTCATTTTCATGTAAAGACCAAAGAATGGTGGAAAGAATTGTATAGGCCCAGCTGAAGGGCACTGGAGAATCTGCAACCCAAAGGTCAGTTAGTTTTGTTACTGGTGTTGCAGTTTTGTTGTTGTATTTCTGCTGTCGCTTAATCTCATATCCAAATCTCACTCTGCTTGACGCTTGGCCGTAGGGGATCTGGGTTGGAGAGTACGCCCCCCTATCATCGTCCTTATTGGTATTCTGCCACGGCTGTATAATCGCATGGTAAATATCACATCGGACAGATCCTCAAATAGCTAAACTATGCAAGGCGGATCAGTCTAACAATGTATTAAAAACTAACTCACGTTATTATCCTACAACAGCCATGTCCTGCTGGTTCAAAGTCCTTTCGTCAACTCCAGTGCGAAGAGATTGATCCCGACTATTCAGAATATCTCACCTCAGGTACAAGAGCATTTTTAACGTTAGTTTATTTAAGATATGTATAGTTTTCATATTATGTACATGTAGATAATGTTTGGCAG